TATATATATCGACGTCTCAGTCGTATATGTAACTGCCTCAAGAATCATTTTAAAGCAATCGACAAGCTAAAAATATTAGAAAACCGGGGAAAATTTTATTAAATATTATTTTTATATGCTTATACTCGCAAATTTCCAACATTAGATATTTTATTAATGAAGCATTCGGAATAATTTCAATAGATTTGTACATTTTTACTGTCTCTTACAGATTATAAGATTCTCTCTCTCTCTCTCTCTCTCTCTCTCTCTCTCTCTCTACATATATTTTACAGAGATTATACGCGCGGTTTATATAAAAATTATTTCGGGATATTGATGTCTCCTTTTTTTATTTTTTTTTCAGCCACGTACAGTTTCTAGTTTATCTGTCAAAAGTAATATTGAGAAATTATTGACAGCTTAAGGAGAGCGCTATGAATTGAAGTATTTCTTCGCTTACGAGGACGATATGCGGAAACAAATTAATCCGTTAGTGCGGTAATAACTTTTTGAGCGGAGAATGGACCAAGAAGAGCAGCAGAGCTCATTACGCGGTTATCTCGTCGTCGATCAATCGAGATATTCGGCGCATGGCGTATATGATTAATGAGTTACTAGACTAATACATAAGAAATCCTTCCATCATCCTTATTTCGTAGGGCTTGATGGGAGAAAATGGTGGCCCGTTGTAATATAAAGCAAGAGTGTGATGCGTGCGTTGAAAAAGAAATAGTGATCGAGTCGATCGAAAATTAATTGTAAAACTGTTTAAAGAAAGTCGACACATTACATTATTTTATCTGACTCTGAGTCGTGACAGGAATCATAAAAGCTCGCACTTATATGAAATCGGAAAATCTCGACTGCACGATACACGTGCAATCATAATTATATATTAATGTGTTTTAATAGACATATATAATAGTTAACATGCCAATCTTTTTCTTTCCGCAATGTGTACAACACATCTTGTCATTTCTAGAATGTTTTTATGCTTTGATAGCGGAGTTACATAAACAAAGAAGTCTTATTTTTCATCAATATACTAAAACGATTTTGTTTTAATATGAATTAAAGTTAAAACTTGATTTAAAACTAAAAAATTGTATTATTAAATATTACAAAATTGTTGAAGATATTGATTTTTACCATCGTTTTTGATAAAAAAAAGACTTTAAGTTTATCATAAAATCTGTCATTAAAAAGCTATATTGATACTAGATTGTACGAGAACAATCATTATATATTTACAGAATATACTTCGTATCAATCGCTATATCCACGCGCGAAGTGTTAGTGTAGTTTTGAAATGAAAAGAAACCAAGGGGAGAATGTGAACGGAAAGAGGCAGTATATATGTTACCGCTGCAACGCAAGGTGCTTGTACCAATTTGACGAAGCATGATGGATTATACGGCCCGTGTAAAAAATTTACATTTACAGAATAAATTATCATAACATTGTCTCGAACGTATGCGTGCGTATTAGGTGCGCTTTTGGCACATTTTATTATATCAACGTATCCGTCAATCAGTGTCGACTAAATGGATTTTTAGGGTCGCGATGCATTTTATTCGTGGCGCGTATTTTATTCATTTTATTTATTTTGAAAATATTCGATTCTCGTGGTGGATTCGCGTGATTTAGTCGAGGTGAAACTCATTTGAACGTCGAGATTCTTATCAAAAATATCTGGTGGCTTAGAGTTTGTGTGATTGGAAATTAATAACATAACCCGATCTATACCATACTCGTGATACTTTTATATTTATTATTACGATATGTCTATGCGAACGGAAAGGTTCGAATAATCGTTTAGCCGACTATTAACACCTTCTATACTGAATAACTTGTATCGAGATCGATGTTGCGCTAAGAGATATATCGGTTTTCGTTACGCCTCGTAAGATTCAAGTCATGTAATAGGCGTTCAACCTATACGACTCCACCTTCTCAGATATGTGCCTGTGACATTATCTATAGTTTAGATTATGCGGATGAAAGAGATTAGATCATTTAAAATTATCGCACAGAAACTCTATAATATTCTATATAAAAGTGAAACAGTTTGTTGAACTATTACACTTGTAGATATATTGCTTAATGTTACACAATAAAAACTGATTCAAAAAATGAAAATTGATGCGGAAAACATAATGATCTTTTAATTATATATTGAAAAATGATTTTACTCCGGTTTTTTGTTTCTTTGATTAAATTTGAGAATTAAGTTAACTATTATTGAATTTATCAAAAAAAATATATATAATTTATAAAGTTAAATATTTGTCTTATTATGACAAAAATTTGGCGATTTTGTATGTGGAAAACTTTACGTGCGAATAATTAAATGTTAAAATTAAATTTCTCTATTTTTCATTTTAAAAATAAATTTTTTTTGTCGCTTGCACTTTATAAGTAACACATACCGCATCTTATTCTAAATGTTGCATAATACATGAATAACTACAATTTCTATTTGCAATTTTACTCCTACGCGATATACACCCGATATACACTCGTGTCTTATTCTCACGGTAATCGCATACCGATGACAGTTCCAACATTTATTCCACGTGATTGATTTTTTTTGCATAAAATACAGGCGTTTTTTGCTTTATTTTATATCAATGGATGTAATGATGACTGCGGAAAATGATTTTTGAAATGATGATTATTACAGCTATTTATTTGCGCTGTAAAAATGTATTATTACGCGAAATACCAAACGATATGAATAATTAAGATTGCAGATATGAAGAATTAAGATTAATTTTATTCTTTCAAGAATAATTATGTTTGAAGATATTTAAGAATGTGCGCTTGTGGCATATTTTAATTTCTTTTAGTTAAAATTAATCGACCGAAAAATTTACGTTTAGCTGTGGAAAAATATATAATTTTAGCATATTTTAAGTATTTAACCAATAATTTCTTATAATGCAACATTTACATAACATCTTCTATACGTTTTGAACATAGATATGACCAATAACAATATGATATTACATCTTAAAACGGAATTGAATAAACAGTTTACAATTTTTTTCGTCAAGCACTAATAAAAAAG